AGATCTAACGGTCCAATAGTTTAGCAGTAGGGACGGGGGCGTTATGGTCATTTAGCTTTTATTTTAAAAAAAATTCGTATTTTATTTTTTAATATAAAAACGGTTTGTGGAGAGGAGAGAGAATCGCAGATCACTTTTCATCTTGGCCTCAAATCCGTTTTCACCATTTTCACGGGAGAATCGCGGCTCTTCCCCGATTTCCTCCTTCGTCTCCACCATTGAGAGATTTCGTCGGCGTTCTTCCCCATTTCTTCTTCGTCTCCACCATTTCGTCGGCGTTCTTCTCCGTCCAGCGGTCTGCATCGCTATCTTTTTCGGCGGGCGAAAGCGGTTACTAAGGAGTTTCGTCGGACTTTTGCGTCAGCGGTGTGTCGAGCGAGTTCCTCGGCGCTCAACTCGCTTCTCCGTCTGCGCCGACGCCGGCGAATCTTTGGGTAAGTTAAAACGAGAGCGATTTTAACTTTTGGCATTTCCGATCGATTTTAAAACCCTAACCGATTTTGATGCTAGGCCAGAATCACATTTGATATTGTGGGTTGATTTGGAGAGTTTTAGTGATTTGCTTGTAATGATTGTTTAGTTTAATATAGGGTTTGTATTGTTGGAATGGGTTGGTTGTATACTTTCTGGGTTTGCTTGTATTGATTGTTTAGTAATGTTTGTGTGTTTTCATACCTCTGTTTTTACTCTTCATGGTTCATACAGTTTGTGCACTTTGTTTCTCATGTTCATAGAGTTTGTACACTTTGTGCGGTTTGTACAGTTTATTACTCTGCTTTGTATGGTTTGTTGTATTTGTTGGTTGACTTGTTCTGTTGTTGCTTTTGTAGCTGTTAAGTAAGGATGGTAGAAGGTTCAGAGGTGGGAGGGTCAAGTACCCATGCTGCTGAAGCTGAAGTTACTAAAACCAAGCGGAAGGGGGAGAATCTTAAGAATAAGGGGAAGGGCAGTTCAGCTTTCTGATACAGGGAGAAGGAAAAGAAAGGTTGTTGCTGGAGAGAAGCAGAAGGCAGCAGTTCGTGCAAAAAGGCAGAAGCGAGCTCCGGGGGGAGGGAATGAAGCTGCTTTGAATTATCGATGCAGCCCGAAAGAGGTTATGAGTCATGTGCTGCCTCCTTTATCTCTTGGCAGGGTGCAATTAATTAAGCAGCTGGGCTTGGATTTTGTCTTTTCGCTGAAGATGAAGAATCTGGATAATGAACTTATTAAGTTCATTATTTCAAGGTGGGATGGGAAGAATAACTGTATCCACTTGGATGATGGAAAGAAGATTTGTATTACGGAAGAGGATGTTTACAGAATTTATGGTCTTCCAAGGGGACCAAATGCTGTGTGTTTGCAGAAAACATCAAAGGTGAATTCTAACCTTGGTAAAGATTATGGTTTCAGTAAAACTGGGAAGGGTACTGTTGGTTTTGAGAATTTGAGGGCTTGTATGGGAGCGGAGAAGTCTGATTCTAGGTGGGTGAACATGTACGTGCTGATGATTTTTTGCCGCCTTTTCGAATCTGTTACATCTAGGACGGTGACAACAGAATACTTGACTTTTCTTTCTCAAGGAATGGTTAAGTATTTTTGTGACTATGATTGGTGCGGTTATGTGTATCGTCTAATTTGTGAGAAGGTGACATCAAGTCAGCATCACAGTTGGGTTGAGGGAGATATGCATTTCTTGCTTGTTTGTTTCCTCGATAGGACAACTGTGAATGAGGAAGAGGCCAGCCGCTGTGTTAGTAATCTGGTGCCAACCTGTCAGTTGTGGAGTTCGACAAATTTGAAGCAAAGGAAGGCAGAAATGGAGAAGAAGTTTGGGAAGGAATATGGTAAGGTGTTTGTTCTAAGGGATGCACCCGTTTCTTCTACTACTCGTCCGAAGATGGCTCAGAGTATTAGTGGTTTTGAGGTTGCTCGAGGTGAGAAGGGTTCTGATATTGGAGATGAATTTCCAGATTTCGATTTGAATTTGGATGGCAAAACTGTTCAAGAGGTAAGTTTGTATAGTTTATACTGTTTGTTCATATGCTTTATGATATGTTTCTGTAGTGTTTATACTGTCTGTATACTTTGTACTGTTTGCACTGTTTGTACACTTTGTATGTTTTTGTCTCATCCTCTGTACTGTCTGTATAGTTTGTATTGTTTGCACTGTTTGTACACTTTGTATGTTTTTGTCTCATCCTTTGTACTGTATGTATACTTTGTATCTTTTTTGCACTGTTTGTACACTGTGTATGTTTTTGTCTATTACTTTGTACTGTATGTATACTTTGTATATTTTTTGCACTGTTTGTACACTTTGTATGTTTTTGTCTATTACTTTGTACTGTTTGTATACTTTGTATCTTTTTTGCACTGTTTGTACACTTTGTATGTTTTTGTCTATTACTTTGTACTGTTTGTATACTTTGTATCTTTTTTGCACTGTTTGTACACTTTGTATGTTTTTGTCTATTACTTTGTACTGTTTGTATACATTGTATCTTTTTTGCACTGTTTGTACACTTTGTATGTTTTTGTCTATTACTTTGTACTGTTTGTATACTTTGTATCTTTTTTGCACTGTTTGTACACTTTGTATGTTTTTGTCTATTACTTTGTACTGTTTGTATACTTTGTATCTTTTTTGCACTGTTTGTACACTTTGTATGTTTTTGTCTATTACTTTGTACTGTTTGTATACTTTGTATCTTTTTTGCACTGTTTGTACACTTTGTATGTTTTTGTCTATTACTTTGTACTGTTTGTATACTTTGTATCTTTTTTGCACTGTTTGTACACTTTGTATGTTTTTGTCTATTACTTTGTGCTGTTTGTATTATTTGTGTACATTATCTAACTTATGTTTGTGTTTTCTTTTATTTGTTTTGTTGTAGGTTAAGTTGATTAGGAGAAGGTTACAAAGTGCATTATGTGAGTTGGAACATCAAGGTAAGCTGTACCGAAGACAGATAAATCAGTGTCACCTATACCTAGCTGATATCGAGGTGCACACTGATTCTGAAGGTGTTGAATTTGTTGAGAAAGTTACAACAAATGTTTCTGAAGGTGCTGAAGTTGTTGAGAAAGCTACAAGAACTGATAATGTAGAGAGTGAGAGTGAAGGCGGGTATCAGAGTGGGAGTGGGAGTGGGAGTGGGAGTGGGAGTGGGAGTGGGAATGGGAATGGAAGTGGGAGTGGTAGTGATGGTGATGGGAGCGATGATGGTGATCGGAGTGGTGACGATGATGATGATGGAGATAGGAGTGAGGAGGAAACTGATGATGATGTAGCTCTATTTAATCTGAAGAAGCCAGCAGTGGAGAAGATTGGAAGTGCTCGTGCTCCAGCACTTCCTCAGCAGCCAGTTGAGCTCCAGAAGACTCCAGCAGTTGTGCCGCAGCAGCCAGCAGTGGAGAAGAGTGGAAGTCCTAGTGCTCCAGCACTTCCTCAGCAGTCTGTTGAGCTCCAGAAGACTCCAGCAGTTGTGCAGCAGCAGCCAGCAGTGGAGAAGAGTGGAAGTCCTAGTGCTCCAGCACTTCCTCAGCAGCCAGTTGAGCTCCAGAAGACTCCAGTAGTTGTGCAGCAGCAGCCAGCTGAGTTCCAGAAGACGTCAGCACTTGTGATGCAGCAGCCAGCAGTGGAAAAGGATGGAGTTACTCGTGATCCAGCAGTTTCGCAGCCCTTTGATTCAACACTTCAAAAGCAGCCAGCAGAGGATGGAGTCGTGCCAACCGCAGTTTCCGAGGAGCTGCCACTTAAGGATAGTATGGAAGTTGTTTTACAGATTGCACAATCTGTGGAGGCAGGTGCTGATGGTGAGCGGGGTGACAAGCTTGATTAGTTAATGATGGTGGTTATTTAAATTTGTAGTACATCTTTTAAATATGCACTTTATGATTGGTTTGTATGGTTTGTACTCTTTGTCGTACTATTTGTACACATGTTGTGTGTGCACACTACTTGTGGATTGCAAACTAGATCTTATGGTTTATTAATTATCTAGTTCTCTGTCTTTATGTCTTTTGTAATGTGCTATATTGTTTCATCTTTGTTGTTTTGGTTGTGAGAAGACGAGTCAAATAGTGATGATAACGATGAGGTTGGGATTGAAGATGATTGTGATGATATTTCTATTGATAACGCTGAAGATGAGTCAAATGGTGAAGATGAGAACAAGAATGGCGTCGAAGGTAATCGTTATGTTTGTAGTTGGTGCTGTCCTTTAGTCTCGTTTACTGCAGTTTTAATCTTTTTGTACACTTAGTTACTTTTTCTGCTGCTGTTTGTAATGTTTGTACACTTAGTTACTTTTTCTGCTGCTGTTTGTAATGTTTGTCTGTTTTGTTTGTGTTGTCTCTATTTTGTTAGATTCTGGGTCGAATGTTGATTTCGTTAATCAAAGACGCTCGAAAAGGGAGCTCAAGCCATCCAATTTAAAGAGGACACCATATACTACTGGTAATAAAAAGCGTAAACCTCCTTCCATGAAAGCACCTATTCCTATTCGGCAAAAAAAGAAAAAACCTACCTCCAAGAAGGTAGAGAAGGTAGCTCCACTTCGGACTAGTAGCCAACTATTGTATGAAGAAAAACTTATTCAATATGCTTGGAGTGACAGATTTCCTGTGTAAGTTTCATTTCATACTGTTTGTATACATTTATATATCAGTTTGTACTTTTCTTCTTCGGTTAGTGAATTTAATATAAACTGTTTGTATACATTTATAGGAATGAAATTCTTTTCGACATGGGTGAAGGTGAGTATCGCTTGTCAAGGAAGGATACCCAAACGACATGTGACAAGATTGTTCTATCAATAAAATTTCTTGATTGCTATATTGAGAATTTCAACCGTTCTTCTTCTTGTGAGAATGGATTTATTGGTAGATGGTCTTTTCCAACGGACTTTGCGGTGAGTTAATTTTCACATGTTGTTGTATGTCATTTAGTATCTATTAGCCATATTAATGCAATTTTTTTTGTCTTTGATTGTACCTAGTCCAAGGTTGTGAATGACAAAATGGAACCTAAATATTTGAAGGTCATGAAATCTTATGTCAGAAAATACCCATTGCAAGATGGTGCATCTTTCAAGACATGCCAATATGTAAGTTGGAATATTTCATCCTTTTGTACACTTTGTGATTCTGTTTCATATTTTTTGTACACTTTGTACACTTTGTGATTCTGTTCCATATTGTTTGTACACTTTGTGCTTCTGTTTCATATTTTTTGTATACTTTGTACACTTTGTGATTCTGTTCCATATTGTTTGTACACTTTGTGCTTCTGTTTCATATTTTTTGTACACTTTGTACACTTTGTGATTCTGTTCCATATTGTTTGTACACTTTGTGCTTCTGTTTCATATTTTTTGTACACTTTGTGCTTCTGTTTCATATTTTTTGTATACTTTGTACACTTTGTACAATTCTGCTTTGTATGATTGTACTGTTTATGATTCTTCTTTGTTTCTTCTTCATTTGCAGTGGCTTTTCCCATGCTGTATGGATGATCATTTCATGGTATATTGTGTTAACTTGAAGGATCGTCGTTTCGAGTACCTTGACAGCTCTCCTTCTAAGCATTTTCTAGATCGATTTAGGAGGGTTGGAGAGCTGGTCGTCCAGTATGCAACATCTTACATTCAGCACATCATGCCAGGAAAGTATGACTTTGATAACGACTTCAAATGGCGAAGGATCACAATTCCATATGATGATTTCACTAGTACTGGCATTATCTGTTTAAACTACTGTGAAGAATGGGAAGGTGTGGCTACAAAGACGATGAGGGAACAATGGTCTTCTCCAACATATATTTACAACCGGAAGATTAATGCTATGCTGAATTTGCTGAATGGATCAAGGAATTTGATGATCGAGCAATTGAGGATGAATGTGTCTTTTAGTGAAGAATTGTTGTTGTCATTAGGGAGTTCTAGTACTGGGTTTTCGCTTGACAAATGATGGAATAGGGAACCATTAGTGTTTTTTTTTGGGTAATCCATGACAGTATGCACTAGTACTATTTTCTATTCTCATGTTTTGTAATGCGGTGACCTTATGAACAGTAGTGTGGCTGTTGGTGTTATGGTTAGAAGGCTATTGCTAACCATTAAGTTTTTTTGAGAATGTAAACACTTGTCCTTTCTTGTATGAACAGTAGGGTGGCTGCTATTTATGTTCTGGTTTTGTAATTTTTATCACAGTAGTTTGTATGTTTTGTTGTTGTGGTTCGTAATTTTTTGTATAAAAAAACATACTAAGAGTACAAACTGTAACAAAAAGCATACTAAGAGTACAAACTGTAAAAGAAAGCCAAACTAAGAGTACAAACTGTTTGATATGACAATTATTCAGTTTATCTGTGTATCTATGCAATCACTCAAATTTATCTATGTATCTATCAAGTAATATATGATATGGCAAGTAGTTCTCCTTTCTTTGTTTGTCTTCTCCTTTCTTGAATGATTTCACTACGAATCTTCCTCCTTCTCCTTGTCACTTTGTTTCCATTTCTACAATAGGATTAAACAGCAGTAGTCAGTTTTTGTGGCATACTTATCCAACAAAAAAAACAGACCAGAAAAATATACAAACAATACTAACAGTCATTGATATGAATATCAACTGAAAGAATACTAACTGTTATGAAAAACCATACTAAGGATACAAACAGTAAGTGATATCATTACAAACCTGCTGCTTGTATTTACTTTCATGGGAGGTATCATGTATTTACTTTCCTTCAGCTGCCCTTTCTTGTAACTTTGTCTGTCTTCTCCTTTCTCGAATGATTTCAATACGATTCTTCCTCCTTGTCCTTGATTTAAATGGATCAGTCCTGACTTTTAATGCTTTCGCCCAATGTGGTTCACTCTCTGAACTTGTTGGATTCAATTCTGCTTCTAGAATAGGAAAAAAAACAAAGGATTTAACAGCAATAGTCAGTTTTTGTAGCCAAACTTATCCTACAAAGAAACAGACCAGAAAGAATACTAACTATTATGAAAAACATACTAAGAATACAAACAGTAAGTGATATCATTACAAACCTGCACCAAATTAAAGGTAGTGTTTCATTTCTTACCCGTGCTTGTGCTAGGCTGGCCAAACTTCATGGCAGGCATATGGATTCAGCACGAATCTTCAATGCTTGCATTCCTTCCTCAAGCATCTTGTATATGTCATCATCCATACAAGTGCGTGTTGCAAGCAAATTCATGGATCCAGTAAGTTGTTTCGCCCTTGAACAGTACACCCTCTCTGCTGTATCTTGTATTGTCGGTAGTGTGAAATCTCCAGATTTTGCATCATATGTCCACCTCTTTAAGATGTAGCGTGTGTGAATATTCAGGATTTCTGGGTGTCCTCCATAGCCGAGGTGATCTATTGCGCGCAACACATGGCGACAAAGCCATCCACACTTCTCGAACATCTTGCATGAGCAAATCAGCTTACGCTCCACAAAGTCAACCATACCAATCCTCGTATCAATAGGATTTCCTTGCTGATCTAGTTTGTGAAGCTCATATGCAAACATTCCATCTTTATCCTTGGAGTTGTTTGGTCGTATATGGTATTTGAATGACTTGGAGTATTCATCTTGCATGTTCCCAAATATAGGTTGTGTATATTTGGTAACAAAATGTTGAAGAACCTCGCTGTTTGTGAAAACCAAGTATGGAATGGTGTTCAATGCATCATAGTCACTTCTCAACTCCTTATGTCTTTTGGCTTCAAGAAGGTTGTTAAATTGTATAAAAAACTCCCACAAAGTAAGTTTTGACTTGAGATACTTACGCAAATGGCTGTTGCAACTCTCGCTGAGTTGTGAGCTTCTCATTCCACATGCAAAATGATCTTTCAGCCATGCCAATGACCATTTACTTCTCACTTTGTGGAGGTTTTGCAGCCATGCCTCAATCTTACTTGTTAATTTCTTCCCTTCTTCTTCATTGAAGCAATTCTCAAGCATCTTCTTCCAATAATAGTCGAATTCATCCTCCGTCTCCAAATCATACATCAAGAAGGAAAGCTCTTCCAAAAATGGTGACCACCACAACCCATTACTCTTTGCATTCATTGTTATATGGAATGTGCACAGCCCATGATAAGTGCGTGGCAATGCTGTCCTCATACCAGCAGCAATTGCTGCCGCTTGATCGGTAAAAACAGCTCCCGGTTCCTTCCCGTTCATGCAAATGAGAAATTGTTTGAAGAGCCAATCAAATGTGGCTGATGTCTCATCATAGAGTAGGGCAGCACCAAAAACACATGATTCTCTATAGTTATTGAAGCCCACAAATAAAGCTGAAATGAACATTTTGTTTAAAATTAGTAATGAGGTTTAACAAAACTGACATATTGCAAAGTAACAGAACAGAGCAGAAAAACATACTAAGAATACAAACTGGCAAAGGAAAACTTACTAATAATACAAACTGTAACAGAAAAACATACTAAGAATACAAACAGCAACAGAAAACATACTAAGAATACAAACTGTAACATAAAAACATACTAAGAATACAAACAGCAACAGAAAACATACTAAGAATCAAGAACTTTTGCACTTCATTCATCGTTCTATTTGATCTCATGAATTGTCTTGATGATGGTGGGATCATCTTATGATTATGCTCGTCTAACCAGCTTGAAATGTAGTATTTTTGGGAACTTCTTCAAGCTGGAAGCGTATCACTGCTTTGCAATCCCATCTATCCTCTTTGGTGATTCTGCTTCTAGGTTGTTGGTCAACATGGTCGTCATTTGCTGGATTATTTGCACTACCTTTTCGCCAACCTTCCTTATTGCATCTACCCCCAAAATATCTTACAACTTCACACGGTTTGTTATTGCTTGTTCTCTTAACCCCTCCTGTTTCTCTAACAGAAAATCCCTTATCATGTGCATAGCATTTGTACCACAGCAATCCATGATCTTTTGTGTCAAAGCGAAGGTTCATCCACGTTTCTTCATTGCTTGGTAATATTTTGATCTCATCATCTGCAGAAACAACCAGTTTACAATATCAGAACAACCACATTACAAAGTAACAGAACAGAGCAGAAAAACATACTAAGAGTACAAACTGTCAAAGAAAAACATACTAAGAGTACAAACTGTCAAAGAAAAACATACTAAGAGTACAAACAGCAACAATACTAACATAGTAACATTACAAACATAATTAAACCATACAAACTGATGCACTAAAGCTATAAAGACATACGATATTTCGTACAAACTGCATAAACCATAAGTGTGTACTGTTTGTACAAACATAACAATCATCATATATTAAGACTTACAATACAAAATGTACAGAACAGAGCAGAAAAACATACTAAGAACACAAACATCAAAAGAAAAACATACTAAGAATACAAACAAGATTTATTACCGATTTCACGTTGTACTGTTGTTTTCTGAACATCTACATCCATTGCTGTTTCAGTTCCAGTTTCTCCCGTTTTTTGTTCATTAGCTCCATCAACCACTTCATCCTTTGTTATCGGAGCAGAATCCATCATGCAAAGAAATTTGCCACGGTGATCACTGTTGCTGGAAAATCGCCTCGCCGTTCTCTGGAAAAACGCCTCGCCGTTGGCTGGAAAAACCCCTTCTCCGATAGCTGGAGGAGAATCGCAACTCGCCGTCGTCGATCGCGGGGGAAAATTGCCTCGCCAATCGCTGCAATCTCCTCGCCTATCGTTGGAATCGCCTGCGCCGCCAATCGCCGGAATCGCCTCGTCGATCGCGGGAGGAAAATCGCCCCGCCGCTCGCCGGAATCACCTCGTCGATCGCGGGAGGAGTTTGGACGCCGCCGGGCCGTTTCGCGGGAGGAGTTTGAACGAGAGCGGATATTTTTTGCCCTTCCCAGAATAAAAAGGAAAAGCAATTAATGAAAATTTTTTAATGCCAGAATTGCCCCTCCCAGTATTTAAAAATCCCTTCCCTAATATTCACCGTTAGATTGATCCTTCTACATCCAATGGCTAGGGGGGGCTTAGCCAAGTGACTAAGCACCCCCCCTTAGTCACCAGATCCGCTCTCCAAAGGTACAGTCATCAGAGTTAGTTCTTGTGCATTTTATTAGGTCCAAAGGTTTGGCATATGCACGAAAGAAATTGAAGTGTTGTTTGTTTGGTACACACAGGCAAGCTAGTCGGAGGACTTTCAGTTCTTGGTTGCTACAAGACATTGAAGGAAGGGAAAGAATTAACTGAAGATGAATCTTTCTAGCTTGTGTCCTCGGTTGGTGTATTGAATGGGTAATATAGATGTATTCCAACTCACTGCCCCTTTACCTTGATCGAGTGTGTTAGGCTGAAGCATTTTTTTGACTTTTGACGCTGGTGGGTTTTCTAGTTTCAAGGATGTGCTCTCATTATCGATGATAGTGTGGATAACTCTCACATGCGTCTGTTGAGAAATGTGAATAGTTTGTAAAAATAACTAAAGGAAAGTCCTTGAAAAAGGTAAGTGAAGTTAATTCGGATTAATTTTCCGTACTGAAGGAAACGTTTCTTCAATCAGAATTAATTGACCGAATTAACGGAAAGTTCAATCAATTGGGTTGATTTTCCATTTTGAAGGAATCTTTAATGATCAGATTAATTGCCCATACTAACGGAAAATTTCAATCAATCGGATTGATTTCTGGTATTAAAGGAAACTTTTATCAATCGGGTTAATTGTCTGCATTAAAGAAAGTTATAATCACGAGTTATTACTCTTGATTTCCTTCCTTAAGAAGATTCTCAAATCCTCCACCAAGAGGGGAAGGTTGAAGGTCTCATCCTATATAAATAGATGAGCTGCCTAACCCTAAAAATATATAATGAGCATAAACACAATAGAGAGAGTGTTCAGAGAACTCGGGTTTTCGCACAAAACAGCGAGTATTGAGAGGAGCTGTTTTATCCTGGAGACGACCGGTTGATAGTCTGCCGTGCGCATCGAAGGCACTGTCGCGAACGTCTTAAAGAGAGCGACCTAGTCCGCGACTCAGCTCCAGATTCGGTAACCTCGTTCTTGTTGTTGTTCCGTTCCTAACAATTTTAAGACGTTCGGCTGCTGCTATGTCGACTGAACATAACAACATGGCCGGATCTGGTGCTGTCGATATCAATCGACCCTTCCGCTTCGTTGGAGTCAACTTCCGTCGCTGGAGACAAAAGATGGAGTTCTATCTAACGACCAAGAAGTTGGCACACTGCCTCACCAGCATGCCTGTCGAGCTGCCGGAAGGAGCGACCGCTGACGAGAGGGCTGCTTCTGCTAAGGAAGGGGAGCATGACTTCCTGTGCAAGAACTACATCCTCAACGACATGGCAGACGATCTCTACGACTACTATGCGGACAGCAAGAACACCGCGATGATAATCTGGGATGCGCTCCAAAAGAAGTTTGACACGGAGGAGGCTGGAGCTAAGAAGTATGGTGTCAGTCGCTACCTGCGCTACCAGATGGTGGATGACAAGTCTGTCGAAGTTCAGTCCCACGAACTTTAGAAAATAGCTCATGAGATCGTCTCTGAAGGTATGCCTCTGGACGATCAATTTCAAGTTGCTTGCATTATTGATAAGCTGCCCCCTTCGTGGAAAGATTTTAAGAATATGCTTAGACATAAAACCAAAGAATTTTCACTGGAAAGCTTGATTACTCGCCTAAGGATTGAGGAAGAGTCCCGCAAGCAGGATATTAAAGAAGAGGTGATGGTCGTCACTGCTAAACGACCCACCCCTAGAGCTCTTAAACCTAACCAGAAAGGGTTTAAGCGTAAGAACCAGCAGGTCTGCCCCCACCAGAATGGTGCCTCTCGAGGTAACCAAAGGGTCATGGCCCAAACCTCTAAGAATGACCCATCGTTTATCTGCTATAACTGCGGAAAACCAGGTCATATGGCAAAAAGTGTCGGAACAAGCAAAACCCTGCCGCTGCGGCCAGGGTTAACTTGACAGAAGAGGATTTGATAGCCATGATCCCGGATATGATCGCTGAAGTTAACCTCACTGGTGACTCAGAAGGATGGTGGCTGGATACAGGTGTATCGAAGCATTATGTAACAATCGTGCTATGTTTAAAACATATACAGAAGCACCTGCTGACAAGAAAGTGTTGTTGGGGACTACTCACACCACTATGGTTGCTGGTTCTGGTGAAGTGGAGCTGAACTTCACCTCTGGGAAGAAGATGGTGCTCAAGGATGTATTGCACACTCCAGAGATAAGGAAGAATCTTCTTTCGGGATATCTTCTTAACAAGGCTGGGTTTAATCAAACTATTGGGGCAGACTTGTATACCCTTACTAAGAATGGGAGTTTTGTGGGAAATGGATATGCATGTAATGGGATATTCAAATTGAATTTCGAAATTAATAAGATAAATTCCTCAGTTTACATGGTGTGTGATTTGAATGTTTGGCATGCTCGTCTTTGTCATGTGAACACACGAATTGTGAAGAATTAAGCAAGCTAGGACATATCCCTAAACTCTCAATGAATGAATTTGATAAATGTGATTTCTGTAGGCAAGCTAAAATAACGAAAACGCCCCATAAATCTGTGAGTAGAGAATCAGAACCCTTAGATCTGATTCATTATGATATTTGTGAACTAGATGGGATGTTAACTAGGTCTGGCAAGAGATACTTTATCACTTTCATAGATGATTGCTCTGATTATTGCTTTCTTTATTTGAAGAAAAACAAAAGTGAAGCCCTTGATATGTTCAAAGTATTTGTGGTTGAATTTGAAAATCAGTGCAATCGAAAGATAAAAAGACTTAGGAGTGATAGAGGATCATAGTATGACTCTAATCCCTTCAAAGAATTCTATAGCTCACATGGTATCATTCATGAAACCACGGCACCATATTCACCAGAAATGAATGGTAAAGCTGAGCGGAAAAATAGGACGTTTACAGAATTAGTTGTGGCTATTATGCTCAATTATGGAGCTGCTTCTTCTTGGTGGGGTGATATTTTGTTGACGGTTTGCTATGTGCTGAACCGTCTTCCAAAAACAAATAGAAAAGAATCACCCTATGAGATCTTGAAGAATAAGCCACCTAATCTCTCCTATTTAAGAACGTGGGGCTGTTTGGGCTACGTAAGAATTCCGGATCCTAAGAGGATTAAATTGGCTAGTCGAGCATATGAATATGTCTTCGTTGGCTATGCGGCCAATAGTAAGGCATATAGATTCTATGATTTGAATGCTCGTACTATAGTAGAATCCATTGATGCTGATTTCTTTGAGGCACGATTTCCATTTAAAACGAGAAATAGTGGGGGTAATGTACTACCCGCTATTAGAGATAACGGAACTAGTGGGGGTGTTGGTTCTGAGGATGAACTCAGAAGAAGTAAAAGAGCTAGAATCTCTAATGATTTTGGTGATGACTTTACTACAGTATTCACCCTCGAAGATTGATAACGATGTAATTGCACATATTTGCGTCCCTAGTTCTTATCCGTTTGAGGGGCATAGTCGTGTATTTTTGGCCTATTTTACGCCGGGTTGTGCTATTTTGTCATATTTCAGGTCCCAGGCGTTAAAGGGAAGGCTAAGCACGAGTTGCGGGGCATTCGGAAGTCATTTCGTCGAGCTGGAGCCAAAACACGGGCACACCTAAAACAGAACACGGTCGTGTTCTGTGGCCGTGCTTTTACTGCCGAGAGCAAATTCGAGTTTGGCAAACATTGGCTAAAAACACGGGCATGGCTTATACAAAGCACGGCCGTGGCCACCAAAGCACGACCGTGTCCATCATCAAACACGCCCGTGTTTCCCCCAATGCACTGGCCGTGTAATTAACCCTAGCCAAAGCACGGGCGGGCTGAGGCATTACACGGTCGTGCCCTCGACCGTGCTTTGGCCACTGATGCCTTTTTAAGCAGATTTTCAGCCAAAGAGAAGGGGATTCGAGTTTTGAGAGAGACAGAGCGATTCCTAGAGAGAAAAAGCGACGAACAAGAGTCTCCAAGTGCCCTAGCTTGATCTTCAACACCATTGGAGGCCAGTTTGAGCTTGGAGAAGTGCCGATCAACGACCAGGAGCAGGAATCCATCCTTCACAGTATGAATTCCGCGTCTGATTCTGCTTTTGCTTCTTTCTCCATGGAGTAGTTCTCCCATTCATCTGGGTATGGAGAACCCTAGATTTGTATGTTAGGCTTTCATTGTATGAACCCAAGTACTGATTCTATGATTTGAATATATTCGATTGAGGTTTGAATGATTGAATGACTTGAAATTCCTATTGTTTCTGCTTTAACCTAGAATGAGAATATCTGCCTAGGTTGATAGAGCATCCTTGATTGAAGGTAGGGAGTTGGTGACTTTAGTCGAGGAGCCAACTCACTATTCTGTACCGGATTTACTCCGGTAGTGGAGGTTTTGTTTGTTAAGGCCTCAATCTGTTTATTCTGGTGGAGGTTAGTCGCCCGCTAGAGACTCAGATTGAGAGGGTCTGAAGACGTTTAGTCGAGACTTCACGCTGTTTAAGAACCTTCCGCAGTATAACT